CCCCCCCCCCCCGATCCTCCAGCGCTGACTGACGGAACGGACGGGGACAGCTGGCTCTGCCGCTAGATAGGCAGAGCCAAGTGTCAATCACGCAGCTGGGCGGATCTCAACAGTAATGTCGGGATCCGTCCTAGATGCGGCGGTCTCAGTATACCGCAAGCTGTAGCTTGCGACATACTGAGCTTTGGGTCACGGGAGGACGCTAGTTTATGTCCTCCCTTGACCCTTAGGAGTACTTAGGGGAACTACACTGACCCCATAGTTCTCCTTTATTCTCTTGGGCATTTGATGCTACCCCACCAAGCACCATGGTTCCTTCTTCCAACCCCGATATAATTACAGGGGAAAGCAGTGACGTAGGGGGTTGGAGGATGGAACCAAAGTACGGACCTGGACACAAGCGTACAGCATTTCGGAAAGTGTTGAAAGCTAGAGAGACTGATGGTGCCGGAACAGAGTAAAAGGTTGGAGACACGGACCACCAGAGAGCAGATGGAACGCCACAACGTAGAGGACAACACATGTGGTGGATGCTGGAGATTCTTCAGCCACCAACGCTCCAGAAGGCAGCAAATTTTGGAGTGGCCATCAGCCACAGTGGGCCTGTGTCAAACCGGCTTTGGGCAAGTATCCATGGCATCACCTTAAGAAGCCTCCGAGATCCTTCAGAACCCAACTGGAGCATCTGACCTGCAGTTAATAAATTACATCATGCAGCAGGGGTGGGGTTGGGAGAAATCGCAGACATCAAACAGACCAATGAAGGCTGCAGCGTTGGAAAGGAGGGGAGAACGCAATACCTACCTGGAGATAGGGGGGTCTGACCACCTCCGTGAGGGTGGTGCATTCAGCACACTCTTAAAGGGAACCTCACAATCTTAAAAGGGGACTGTACAGTTGCATTGTAACACGTTCTTAAAGGACAATGTACAGTCACACTGCAACATGTTTGGCGATTTCCGCAGACATGACCTCCCTGTGATCCGCCCCGTGTATATCTCCCTCCGGTACACCGGAGACCCCCTTCTAACAAGCATCTGATTGCACCTACCTGCGAGCCAACGGCAGCGGGGTATCGGTGCGGCGCTCGGACTCAGGCGGCGGTCCTGTCTGGAGCGGATCAGTCGATTCGGCTCTCAGCGGCACCAGAGCTCCTCCGTGTCTGGGAATAGAAAAGTTTAAAACCCGCGAGCCCGCCCACCGCTCGCTCCTATTGGCTCTCCGCGGGCCAGTCAGATGGCCGAGCTCACGCGTTGCCAGGGAGACCGTTCGGCGGTTCAAATCCGCCAATCAGAGAGCGTGCTAACGTATAATGGTCGAGGCAAAGGACACCAAGTCGTGACGTTGAAGGGGCAGGGCCTGGAAGACGGGGCGGGGTCGA